AAATCCCAAGTACAGGAGTGTAATCCTGGTTAAGGATTAGAACCCCAAAGAGGCTTTAAAATTTTAAAACTTCAGATTCCTAAGCTTCACACCCAAGGGGGGATTCTAATTCCACAGCTGAGGTGAGACTAGGGAAATACAAAATTTTTAAAAAAAGCCCCAGGAGATTGTGATGCAGCCTTGCAAGCACTCAAGTGAGTTATGTTTGAGAACTACCCATGGAGGGACCTTGAAACAAGTCTTGGCTGTTGCTCCTACATTCAAAGATGATAGTAAACTGAACTCCATTTCCAAATAAGGTGGACTAAGTACCCTTTAAAAAATTCCCCCCATTATAAAAGCAAAACACCTAGATAAAGTGTTAAAAACATCTAAAATATATGACTGAGCATTCAAGAAGACAGAAGTAATGCCAGAGGCTAAAGGAGAGATGGAAGTACAAACCTTGAGTGTTTAAGGGAGTACTGAGGGTAGCAGTCACCTGAGAGCATCTGCAGGTCCCCAGTGACACAGAGCTGTGGTTTTAATGACTTACAGGGAACAGAGGGTAGAACCAAGGCCTTTTTAAGGTGAGAAGCTGGTTCAGATATCCTCAGGTAAAGCCAAGACTGCCTAGGGCTACACCTGTAGTGAGGGAGTTCTTAAAACAAAAACTGAAAAGCAGTAACTGAAACTAAAAGGTATCCCTTACTTTATGACTATTTATAGAGTGAAAAATCCAAAATAAAACATTTAATTCAGTAGGGCTCAGGAACCAATTCAGTTCAAGTCACCTAGGCCCTTACCTCAGGCAGAGTGACCCAAGCAAACTTCTCATGGAACCCAGGTAGGTTCAGGCCTGCCCTCCGATCAGCACCCTACTTACTCAGTTCCCCAGAATGGTTTTCTCCTGAGTCTTATTAACTGCAGACCCTAGTCTATAATTCAACAGCTGCTAACTGGCTAACACTGATCACTTTCACCCTGAACCTCCCCAGCAGATCTGCATGGTTAATGAAGGGATTTCAGAAACAATGCTTTAATTCAGGGTTTATTTTAACCAAAAGGAAGCCAAGTACAGAAAGAGTCTAAAATTGAAATCTGATTTGCGATGGAAAGTTCAAGAATGCCTAGGGCCCTACAGAGCCTAGTTGAAGAACTGAGGCCTTTTCAATAAAAACATCAACTGCAATGGATTAAAATGTCTGAAACACTTAAATTCATGAGTATTTTTTTAAACCCTCACTGATCATCTTTGGAGGATGGTAGGAAGTCAACTCATTATTTTGAAAATTGCATCTTTCCATATCTCAGTATAACTAAACTGTTGATGAAAGGAAATTCTTTAACAAAAATCTTCTGGGTAACAAATGAGGAAGAAATGACAGAATTAAAATAGCAACATTTTGCAGCTCTTCTTGAAATAATGGGTGTAAGCAATAATCACAAATGGCTTTAACATCAGAGGGACAACCTAATGCTGTGTGCCTCCTGACAAGAGTAAGCAACACTCCCTATGAAGTATTCATGGCAAAAGTGGGAAAACAACAACAACAAAAACCCAACAAACCCTGAATCTGATCAAGGCTTCTTTCCTAACTGCCAGTATTATAGGACATATGGAAGGTAGAGGAGGATGTTAAACACCACCATAAGGATAAAAGCAGCAAATCCAGAATGTGAGACACTACAAGACAAAAGACCCATTTTCTTTAACAAATAAACTGCAAGAGAGAAAGAAACGTATAAAAATCACCTCAACATATTACAATGTATGGACCTTATCTGGATCCCATTTCAACAAATTGCAAATTAAAAAGAGATTCATAAAACATCTGAGGAAATGTGAACATTGATGAAATATTTAATGACATTAAGGAATTACTAATTTTTAGATATGAGAATGGTTTATAGTTAGGGTTTTTTAAAAAATTCTTATCTATAGAGATATGTATCAAAATATATAAAAAATGATCTGATAACAAGGATTTGTTAAAAAGTAACCTGGGGATGGGGTAGGGGTTTGATGAATTAAGACTGGCAGGGAACTGATAACCGTTGAAGCTGGGTGACAGTACACAGGGGTGCATTATACTGTTCTCTCTTTGTATGTTTCTACAAAAAAAGACTTAAAAAGAGGCAAGAGAAGAGGGGAACATTACCAATTGCACTGTATGGACCTGTAATGGTGCATAACCATTAGAAAAAATTATGAGTATCAGAGAAATTTGACCATGGACTAAATATTGCATATTTAAATATTATTAATATTTTTACATATGCTAATGATATTTAAAACATCCTTATCTTTTAGAGGTCTATATTGAAATATCTATGAATAAAATGATACACTGTCTGGGATCTGCCTCAAAATAATCCAAAGGATCAGGATGGAGGAATAAGCAGAAATAGAGATGAAGACTGGCTATATGAGCTGACAACTGTTGAAGCCAGGTGTTGGGCAAAGGGGATTCCCTATACTATGTACTCTACTTTTGTTTGTTTTACATTTTCCAATATAAAATGTTTTAAAAATAATAATAACCTATGGTGTTGGAAGTCAGGATAATGGTTACCTTTGAAGAAAATGGGAACCACAATAAGGGCTTCTGGAGTGGCAGGAATGTTCTATTACACACGTTTGGTCACTTTGATAATTCATCAATCTATGTATTATGAATTGCGCACTTTTCAGTATATATTACACGGCAATCAGAAAATATTATTTTAAAAGCAAGAGACTCACTGCTTCAATGCAAGGGAAGACACTATGGTAGAACTGCAGGTACTACAGCAATCACTAACAATGCTATTTTTGAGCAGAGAGGCAACAGACTATTGCATGGCCCTAAGCAAACATCAGAATCTGGACTCAGTTTCCTCATTTCTAAGGAAAATGACAGCAGCTCTTCAGTTGGCTGTTGTGAGCATTAAATGGAATAGTGCACGAGAAGTGCTTAGCACAGAACCCGGAATACAGACAGAAGTGACAAAGGCTGCCTTTTGGCTTTTATGTCAGAGGGCCTGCCTTGCATTCATGGCCTGATTCCTCCCTAGAATGCAATGTAGGTATACCTGCACTAAATAGCACTCCTGATGTTAATCAAGCTCTCCATAGTAATAAATTACCCTCACACGGGGAGCTAGACAGATCCCTACCAGCTCTCCCCCAAGGCTCTAATGGAAAGCCACTAACGAGACTGAAGAGCGGAGGCACCAAAGCTGCACCACCATCAGAAAGAACCCAGGTCTCCGCAGATTCCGCCTGGAGGCAAAATCACTTAAGAGTATGGATGCCCCACACCCACACCAACACCCAGGCATCTTCCCTCCCCAGCCGCGATCCACTCCACCCCATCTCACGCCCTCCAATGGGGATGCACGGAGTGAAAGCCTCATATCGCCCCTCCTCCCTCCCCCAATCAACGAGCTCGCACCAGAACACAGCGGCCAATCACAGCACTCCACATGCCGGGGGCAGCCCTCCGCGCACGCACGCACGAGGAGGCTTCCCCAAAAGCCCGTGTCCAACCGCCCCGGCTCCAGAGGCTGCGCGGTCTCCGCAGAGGCCACACTGCCACCTACTGCCCAATCATCGGCATGCAGCCCGTATCCCAGCCCAAAGGCTCAATTATGAATTAGGGAAAACATGCAGTTATGTCACATACAAACGAAAATTTTAACTGCATTCAGTTACACAGCAGGAAAAAAATATTGTTTCTAACAGCCTCTTTTTCTTCCAAGCAGTTCGAGTTTCAAAACCTTATCACATGTTTTATACAGAGGTAAGATCAAGGGGCCTAGGCACTTGTTCCCTCCACATATTTCTGGAGCCCCTACTATATGTGAGGCTATTATCTGGGGTAGGCATTATCATCATCCCTAGTATATAGGTACAGGAACCGAGGTTAAATGACAGTTTCTGAAGGCTGGCAGAGCTGAGGCTCATACTCAGACCTTCCCTCCAAGGGCATACTCTTCACCACATCACACTGTGTAAGAACACAGGGTGAGGAAAAATCAATTCTGACTGCACAGGGACTCAGGATGTACAGAGAGTATTCTTGGCAGGATAGGATTCAGTAAATAGTAGCTGGTACTGCTTTTCTAAGTACACTAATATTAACAGAGAGAAGGAGACAATTACCTCCACGTGATATTTATTCATTGCAGATTATTATGCTCATTCTTTGGCAACAGCATCTGCTTACTCAGGAATCCATGACAATATTCCCTAGGTTTGTCTCCAAATAACAGAGCTGACTGTAACTCATACCAAGGCACCAAATATAACGGTCTTATTTCCTAATTTTCCCTTCATACCTGGGAAAGTGTTAACAGGAGCTTTGCCAAAATGCTTCATTCTCTTTCTGCACTTTCTTAGCACTTTTCTTATCATTCATATATGGCACATCAGAACAAGCTTTGCAATATAATTCACTGAGTTCATACTGCTTTCATCACGAGAACAGTGCCCCCCCCCCCAAAAGTACTATTGGCTCTCCAGGGCATTTTAGAACACACAGAGGTATTTTTTGACTGTTACAATGACTACAGGGCACTTACTAGAAGACAGCAAAATTAGATAACCTGCAATGCCAAGACTGAGCCACACTTCAAAACACTGTCCCAGTTGGGAGCCAGCATTTTCAGCATGAAAGGGAGATACAAATAGGGACTAGAGGATGGCAAGGAAGAACCCTATAGGGATGAAATGGAATTGGAGGGTTCATTATGAACTCATTATTTGTAAAATATGTACATGTAAGCTTGTATGCATGTGTACATATATATGTTTATGTGTATATGTATAATTTTTAGCTCTGCCCAATGAATGGGCAAAGAAGCAAAACTTCCACAGCAGCAAGAGGACAACTAGCACACAGATCTTGGGTGTCTAATAATACTCCCTAATAAAAAGAACCAGTGTTCCTTGGAGAAATTCAGCTGACTCTTGGATAAAGCAGGTTTGAACTGCGCAGGTCCACTTACATGTGAATTTCTTTCACTGAATATGTACTATAGGACTACACACATGATCCACAGCTGGTTGAATCCATGGATGTGAAACCTTGGCTAGGGAGAAATCCACTTATACAGAAGGCTGACTATAAGTTATATGTGGATTTTTGACTGCGCTGAGGGTGGGTGCCTTTAGCCCTGGTTGTTCAAGGGTCATCTGTAATTGATTTCCGGGCTACAGCAGGAAAGGTACGAGATGCAACATTGGGAGGCAGCTTGAAAGAGCTTCTACTAGTCAAATCTGTTAATGAATCATTAAAAGAAAAAAAAGAGGACTCCACAACATCATACTGATAATAAATAGATAAACAGAGAAAGAAAGAAATGGGAGAAAAAGAAGGTTCTTGCTTATGGGAAATATTGAGTACTAATTAGTAAATGTGGAGGTAGAAAAAGAAGGTTCTTGCTTATGGGAAATATTGAGTACTAATTAGTAACTGTGGAGGTATTCATGAAGCTGGAAAACCATCATTTTGCAACCATTATATTAAAGACTGATTCTGTAGATAAAACACAGACAGGCTGCATGGTACTAACTATACGATAAAAATGAACAAAAAAGAACTGTTTATATAATTCAGGGAGACTGATCATCAAGGCAAAAAAGAAATTTGCAAGATAGAAAAAATGATTTTGCCATGTGTGAAACAATAGTCTAATTTTTAAGACTTAAAATGTGCTTATCAGAATCAGATTATCATAAAAGCATCATTTCACATATATCTCATATGAATATATGATGACAAACATACAGAGTGAATGGAAATGACACATATAAGAGCCCACCTACCAAGGTGACAATCTTCTTTTTCTCTTGCTTCCCATTTGTGGCTGTCCACATAGGCTGCAGAAAGCAGGCATCTTTTACCTGAGGAATAAGACAATTATGTAAACACAGGCATGGTTTCACAACAGGTTCACTTTATTTATGTTTTACTAAACATACCTTTGTCATATTTTCCATTTAAGATTATTTAAAGATCTACTACGAAATTGTAACCTATATTGCACAGTTTATAATTCAGTTCATGACAACATGTATTCAACCTCTAACAAGCAGAAGATGGAGAAAATCTGTTAAAATTTCTACCATAAGATTATGAGTAAAAATGCTGCTAGTTTTGTCTATAACTTAAGGACTAGGAGTCATTTGTTTCCACTAACTTAGAGCCTAGATGGGTCTTAAAACCTCTTCTTAGAATCTCAAATACTTGCTGAACGGTGGCTTTACTCATTCAATGATTCATCAGACTAAAATTTCCATCAGACTTAGATCAGCATATTTCCCCTTATTTCACATAAAGCAAAGAGTAATACCTTACCCAGTCACCCAGCACACTACTGGTAAATAAGAGAAACCTAATAAGCCAAATTTGAGGTAGCCCACAAGATGACACCTGGCACAATGACTGGCATATGGCAGTGCTCAATAAACTTGAGCTCAAGGAACGAATGAGAAAGAATGGCAACTTAATCAAAATTAAAATCTTTTGTGCTTCAAAAAACACCATCAAGAAAGTGAAAGCATAACTCTGAATGGAAGGAAATACTTGCAAATCATTAATCTGATCAGGGACTTGTACCCAGAATATATAAATAACTCTCACAACTCAACATTTAAAAAGCAACCCAACAGAAAAACAGGCAAAGGATTTGAACAGACATTTCTAAAATACACACACACACAGCCAACAAGTACATGGAAAGATGTTTAATATCATTTCCCATTAAGGAAATGCAACACTGAAATCCACAACTTCACACTCACTTAGGATGGCTATAATCAAAAAGGCAGATAATATCAGCTGTTGACAAGGATGTAGAGAAACTAGAAACCTCACACACTGCAGGTGAGAATGTAAAATGGTACAGCCACGTCGGAAAAGTTTGGCAGTTTTGCAAAACGTTAACATGGAGTTAGTGGATAACCCAGCAATTCCACTCCTAGGTATATACCCAAGAGAAATGAACTGTATCCACACAAAAAACTATACACAAATGTTCACAGCAATATTATTCATGACAGCCAGAAAGTGGAAAATGCAAATATCCATCAATTTATGAATGGATAAACAAAATGTGGTATATTCTTATAAAGGAATATTATTCAGCAAAAAGAAATGAAGTACTGATTAATGCTGCAATATAGATGAACCTCGAAAATCATTTTTGAAAGAAGCCAGTCACAAAAAGACTACATATTATATAATTCCATTTATATGAAATGTCCACAATAGGCAAATCTACAGAGATAAAAAGCAGCTTATTGGTTGTTTAGATCTGGGGGGTGGTGGCAATAATGGGGAAAGCTTGGAGGGAAATGGGGAGTGACTACTAATAAGTATGGGGTTTTTTTTGAGGTGATGAAAATGTCCTAAATTGATTGTGGTGATGGTTGCTGCACAAACCTGTGTGTATATACAAAAAAACCCATTAAGCTGAATACTTTAAATGGGTAAATTGTATGTGAATAAATAATAAAGCTGTTTAAAAAAAATTAAAAAGGAATGAATGGCAGATAATTACCTGAAGGTCACAGCAGACCAAAAGCCAAATACAACTAGAAGGCCTGGGAGCTGGTTAAACACAGTATTTGCATGTTATTGTTATTCTTTATCCATCTCCCAAATAAAACAAACACAAACACACCTGTATGTGTTTATACACAAAACCAGTCCCTCCCTCGTCTTAAGCAGGTGTAAGGTCAGACCTTTATTAGAAAAATCTGTCTAAATTTGAAGTCTGAAGCTTAAAATGATGCAATAATATTAAAAGCTTCCAAAAACTGGCTCAGTGAGGAACGAAGATTTTCTTTCTAAATAGTTAACTATTAATAAGTGCCTACATTTCAAGTGGATTATTTTTTAAATGATTAGATGTTTGGAACTTAGACTACACTGTCCAGAGAAACGATGTTATAAATTGTCAGTTACATTCCTAGATCTGCCCAGAAGGATGAAATCTAATGGCGTTACATTAGGTGCATAGCTGTACACCAGGTCAGGAGTGAGCAGACCCGAGATTCAGGTTGAGTTTCACCAGCTGGTAGAAAACTTCAGACCCTGCAGCTATGTGAAGGAGCTGACTGGGGGATATTTAAGGTCCCCGCATGCTCTAACAATCTGACACAGAAACAAAATAATCTTTCTGTGGGAAATTTTCTATGCGAGCATGAGCTGAGGAGGGGACTCTTAAGTTATATACTCCAGGGCACCAGTGACTTACATATTCTCTACTTGTTATTATTACATTTTCTTACTTATTCTCTATTTCTTTCCTAGTATATTCATTCTAGCACAAGAGATCAGCCCTCATTCTAGAGCCAGAGAAGACAGTTATCTACAACAATGTTCATGAATTTTAAATTGGGAGACAAAAAGCAAGGGTGGTGATGCGGTGCGGAAAGCCAGGGGTCCCAGAATGCCCTGTGTGCAGTTGTTCAAGGGGATCATATGAACTGAAAATAAAATAAATTAGGACTAGTAAATTTACAAAGGATAAGCGCAGTAACTTTGATATAGTTGAACTTTTTAATGTTTGCTTATAAGTAAGTAACCAGTAATCATTTTTTTATCTCCATTAAGAATAGAACAAAAGGAAATGGGTATAAATGGGTACAAGGATGAAGAATTTCAATTTGGCAAGTGGAAAGTTTTCCTAATAGAAACCAATGACAAACATAAGAATGAGTTGCCAAGTGTGGCAAGCAGAATAATGTACCCCCAAAAGATGTCCAGGCCCAAACTCCAGAACATGTGAATGTCAGAACCTGTGAACAGCAAAGGGGAATTAAGGTGACAGATGGAATTAAGATCAGCACATCAGCTGATCTTAAAATGAGGCGCCAGTCCTGGGTTATCCAGGTGGGCTCAATGTAATCACAATCCTTAAGAAGTGAAAGAGGGAGACAGGTTGTTAGTGTGATGTATGAAAAACAGCACGAGATGAGAAGTACCTGACTTGCCACTGTGCACTTAGAAGATGTCTGAATCAGCCAAGGAATGCAGGTGGTCTCTAGAAGACGAAAAAGGCAAGGAAACAGATTCTCCCCTAGAGATTTCTGAAGAGAATACATCCCTTTTAATACCTTGATTTTAGCACAGTAAGAACCAGTATCAGACTTCTGACCTACAGAACAGTAATAAACCTGTGTTGTTTTAAGCCACCAAATTTGTGGTAATTTTGTTACAGCAGCAATAGGAAATTACTACATCTTAGAAAGACATTCCATTTTCTGTAAATCTTTTAAAGCAGGATGTTAATCTTTCTAGGATACTTTTAAATGGCATCACTTAAAGTTCTTTCCACCTCTGTATAATAGTTGGAAGGTCTGTACATGTAACATCAGAACCAAAGACTTTCTACAAAGTCAGACAGAACATTAAATTGAGTGGACAATGGCAAAATGTAAAATCTAGATCAGCTCTTCAAACTTTAATGTGCATATGAATCCTGATAAAATGCAGATTCTGATTCAGGAGGTCTGAGGTGGGGACAGAGATTCTGCATTTCCAAAAGTTCCCAGGTAATGATGCTGACCTTCAGACAACACTGAAGTAGCAAGGGGATAGGATAATCAGTCTCACATATTGAGTTCTGAGACCATGTAATCCTACTCTGATTATGCCACTCAAGAGTATACACAACTCTTTCTTGAGCCTGCTTACCCTTCAGACAGTCAACTTTTGAAACAACAATATTCTAAGTATCCACTATAAAAAGAAATATTTCCTCTATTTAATTTTGAAAAGATATCTCCAAGGACCAGAATTTGAAAGTTCAGTAAAAATGTGTTTATTTCATAGTTATTCTATGTATATTTTATAGTTATTCTGGCCTTTGCTAAAATGTCTGCAAACAAGCTTCACATCCAAAAGGAAGCAGTGTGATTGTGGACACAGATAGGCTTTAGAGTCACAAAATCTAAGTGTGAACCTTTGCTGTGCTAATACTATGAAAATGTCAGCAAGTAACACCATGCCTCTGAGCCTCTTTCTTCATATGTAAAACAGGGAAATACTGCATCACAATTTAAATGAGGACATATATTAAGTGCCCAGCCTAATGTCCAATATGTAGTAAGTGCCCAATAAGTTTCCTTCTCTAGCCTCTTCACTTTTTTGGTTTATCTCAATAAAATTTCCTTTCATCCTCTTGATCAGTTTAGTTGCTCTTTTCCAATATGTTGTAAGGTGAATCAATGGAAGCACCAAAGTGTTCCCAATATTGATCTGTCATGAATTTATACAAATTAGAACATTTTTCCTCTTTTATCCTGTAATGGTTCAAGATGTTTTGATGACTTAAGAGTTCCTTATCAGCATTCTCAACCCCCTAGTGGTGCATAATGTACTATCCTACATACTTATATCACTCGCCTTATAGCGTCCAGTTCCTGATTTCAAGACTTCTTTCATCTATGGTCTAACCCAGTGCTTGTGCAATATAACTTTCTGTAATAAAGGAAATGTTCAATTCTGAGCTGCCCAATACAGTAGGTATTAGCCACAGGTGCCTACTGAGCACTTAAAACATAGCTAATATGACTAACGAACTGAATTTTTAATTTTACTTAATTTTAACTAACTTAAATAGCCACACATATCTAGTAGCTACTACAATAGCACAGGTGTAACCGACCACAAATTCACCAGTTCAAACTAAGACCAAAATGCTAACTAGAAATTCTCTCAATTCACTTGTAACTAATTTCCATTCCCTTGTTAGAATGATCGCCCCCAAACAACCTAAGCAACAACGATACTCTCCCTGTTTGACAATCCAAGGTCTAGTTTAAAGTGAAAAGCATTTACTAACAACAATAACAACCATAATTAAACATGCTGGTAAATAGTTACAACAGTTAAATAGTTGTAACAGTTAATTCTGAGGTGCCAAGTACTGTGCACACCTCTTTATCTAATGTGTGGCATTAAATATTTTCATTTGCTAGGTCAACCAGTTAATCCTTAGCAAACTTTTGGTGGCCAACTATGAGGTTTCAGTTGATATTTAAAGACTGTTCCTAAAGAACCTGAACAAGTGTGTGCTGCTTTTAAACAGGGGGTAGAGGAGGTATGTTGGTAAGAGATAACAAGCATTGGAAAAATCAGCTGTGACTATCCTAGTTTAATTATATAATCGGATACACCTGTCAGGATTTAGCTTTTGTAAATTGAAAAAAACTTTTCCAATGTCTTCATCAGCAGATTCTTTAAACAAGTTTTGAGTGGGCTCTCATTCACTCAGATACCAAAGTACTTTAAAAGTAACTACTACCATTTATTGTCTGCATGGAAAACTTTAGCAAAGAAAGGTCAATCAAAAGTTGTGCCCAAGGTCATGAGGTAAAGTGAGGTTAGTACTGAGAAATTCCTCCACCAGGTGAAAACCAAGTGTCTGGCCACGTGTGAGGTAGTGAGGAGAACGTTTATGATGTCCCTTCAAGGAAACTTAACAGGGAGGAAAGTTTCATAGCCCCAGGGGTGGTCACATTTGGGCTTTTCATGGGCAGCAAAAAGATGACCACTCTAACACACAAACCTGGCAAATTACACGCCAAAGCCCTAATGCCGCCGCGACTTCCTCTGCTCTTCACATCTTTGAACGGGCCGACACTTTAGGGAAGGAGACGACGGGTCAGAGAACTTACCTCCCCTCTTGGCTACCAAGCACCTCAAATGGTCTCTCTAGCAACTAGATTCCAGAAGCATTTCCTCTCCCCTTGAAAGCCCAACGCTCCCTTCTCTCAAGGAACAGAGTTCTCAGGGGCCTAATGAAGCAGCCCCACAAAGGTAGCAGCCACCAACCTGCCAGGGAGAGCTGAGGCAGCAACACTTTCCGCGCCAGGAGGATCCCGCGCCGCACTATGGGTGCCGCCATCTTGGAGCATACCAAGCGGAATGCCGGTCCGGGGCCTGAGGGCACAGGAAGGGGAGGGGTCACAGGCAAGTCGACGCTCCGCCCCCTCCCCTGCCTCCCGCAGTTGGTGCGGCCCGGGACAGCATGGCGGCTGCCTTTCGGCCTGCGAAGGAAGTTCTGCTGCTGCAGGCGCTGCGGAATCTGGTGTATACCAGGGTGGGAGGCTCAGGCTCCGCATGCTGCCGCTGCCCTGTCGGAGGTATCTGCGGCCTCGGGCCGTGAAGGAAGGGAGGGATGGGACAGAAGGGAGCTTTACACCGCAGCGGGTGTCTCTTTGGAGAAATAACAGCGCTGCAGTCACTTCCTGGCCTAGAGCAGCCGGGCATACCCTGCCCTGTGCGCGTGGGTGCAGCGGTCGTGGACGCCTGTGTGCCTGCGAATCAAAGGAAAGCTGTGCTGGGTCATGACCTTGTAGTATTGTCCTGGATTGCGGGATGCTGCTCTCCAGGAACACTCCCTCCCCCTTAGGTGTACTGTGCGGCAGAGCTTGGGAGGGGAGGTCTAAGACTCCGAGTTTGGAGTCCAGCTCTGCAGCTATTTGCAAGACCTTGAGCATGTTTATTTGTAAAATTATCCCTTAATATCTTTATGAAAATGATTAAACTTGAAAACTCTGGTGTGTGAAAATAAAATATTTAACAGGTATGTCAGGCTTTAATGCATTTTACATACATTCATTACTTTTCTTCTCCCAACATCCAGTGAGAAAGGTACTACTCTTTTCTTCCTTTACAGAGGAGGAAACCGCAAGGCTAAGTAATTTGCCCAAGGTCGGAAGGAACGCGTAGAGGAAGGATTTGAAAACAGGCGGCCCAACAATAGAGTCCTGCTATAACCACTTCTCTGGACTGCTTTGCTAGAAAATCAGCAGCAGTTTTTTGTTTGTTTGCTTTTTGGGGTTTTTTTGTTGTTACATCGTTATTGCAGTACACAGAGCTCTTTTAGTGGACAATTCTTTGACCAAGCTCCTCTTCATGCACAGCCCAGCATCCTAGAGAAGTAATGTTTCCCAAGCTCACCATTTCTACTTGATTCCCGATATGTCTAGAGGATACCAGAAGTCCATATCTAAGAGGTGGTAACTCCTCGTTTCACCAATAACACGATTGGGAATTCCAGTGGTCACACTATAGCTTTTTCCTCTACCCTGTATGCTTCTACCTAGATAAACCCAAACTAGATATACCTGTTTTACTATCCATTTGTCTTTCAGATCCCAGATTCCTGTCTACCCATCCCCATAAACAATCAATAGCTCCTTTCACTCACACACACACACACCACACACACACACACACACACACACACACACACACAACTTGTCCGGTAGTTTGGAAAGTTTTTTACCCACTTGTTATACTTGTACCTGTCTAGATGGATTATTTATACTAAGTGAAGAGGAGATCATTTATTAGAAAGAGGCAATCAGGCTCTACTCATTTGCAAAGTATAAACCAGTCAAAATGATTTTACCTTTTTTCTTTCTCTAATTTTTAGCTAAAAGATATCTACTTACAGATAATATTGTGAAATTAAAAGAATTTCAGCATAAGAAGGTGGCTGTTGGATGTAATCTTCCTGGTACCAAAGGTAATCAAATCTATTTTGTTAATTCTTTCAGTGATCTGTCATTCAACTTTCTTCTGTCTTTCTCTCTATTCAGGCTCTCCTTCAATGACCTTATGTCTCAGAAAAAATTGAGATTGTTTATTCTTAGCTTCCTAGTCTACCCTCACATGCACCTTTTCACCTGACTCTCTAATACTGTGGAGTCTACAGCTCTCCTCTTATCCCTTCTCCCAGGATCCCAGAGAAATACTAAAACTAGTGCCACTATCAGTCTTCTAGATCCGTGCCTCTCTAAGTAAGGTTTAAGAGTCAGCAGCAACTGAGAGATTGATAGAAATGCCAAACCTTCGGCCCCACATGATGCATATGTACAATAGAGTCCGAGAACTGCTGCAGATGAACTGGCTTTCAAACTTTTTAATGCAACCCTCAGTGCAAAATAAATTTTGCATCGCATCTGCAGGACACACACATCTATATAAATGAATAAAATGAAGCAAAACAGTGATATGTATGATGCATTTTCATATTTTCTACTCTGCTGGAACAATCAGTAGACTAAAAAGTTTCTTTAAAAAATTAGCAAAACATTGATAATTGTGGCTGGGTGATGGGCACGTAGGAAGTCATTATACTGTTCTACTTTTAGGTATGTTTGAAAATTTTTATTATAAAAAACTAAAAACACAGCACTGCCACCCTAGGTCGTATTGCCTTTCAGCATTTGAGAAATCTTGTTGCACTCATTCCCTCTGTCCTGCACATTGAGATTTTCCCAGTACTTCAAAATTCCTTTATAAACACAGCAAGACTCTCCTTTGTTCATAACTCTTTCGTTTGTCCCTATTGACTTTTTCTGCTCTCCTTTTTCTCACTGTCAGATATTATGAGCACTTAATTAACCCTTCTGGCTTCCCATCTCTCACAGTTCAGCCCTTCAGAAATCAGTCTTCTTTCACCACTATGCTTGTTGCTGTTATATAAAACCACCTACAGAGCAGGAGGATAAGAGAGAGGGAGAACAATCTCCACTTTGGTGGACTCAATCTAGATTTCACTTGAGTCTTTTTTTTAATTGAGGTATAGTCGATTTACAATGTTGTGTTAATTTCTAGTGTACAGCACAGTGATTCAGTTGTACATATATATATTCCTTTTCATTATAGGCTACTACAAGGTATTGAATATAGTTCCCTGTGCTACACAGTAGGATCCTGTTGCTCATCTAGTCTATGTATAGTAGTCAGTATCTGCAAATCCCAAACTCCCAATTTATAGTCTTTTCTTTTTACCCCAGGTCTTCTGGAGATCTGCGAAGTTTACAGTTAGGGCTTCATGTCACTAGTTGTTTATCCAATTGTTACAATCTTTCTAAGGCTGTAATTGTTGTGCATATGTTCTGAAAGGCAATTAATATGAGTGCCAATCTACTCCATTGTCAGGTATTTATAAAATGCTTTCCACGTTCCATCATTAGAAGAACCCACAGTGGTACTCTGTTATAGATCACATCATGTTCAAACTGCCCCCCTCCCCAGCTTCCTAGCTTTTCCATAGTGGACCTCACCTGTTCTGGAATCTGATGTGATTTCCTGTTAATCTAGTCACAGTCTTCCCCTTACCACCTTTCCCCCCAGTTCTCTGCTGTTTCTCATGCCGATTCCCATACCAACAAAACCCTGCTCCCCTCAGTTTCTCAAATGCTGTCTGGCCCCTTCCTTCCCTTCTGGTACCTCTCTAGTTCCACCAGGCCTAGTCTGTTTCTGCTGCCCTGATTTTTCTCTTCTCTCCTGTTAAGTTTATATTCAGTGACGAATCACCTACTCTGTCACTGTTTTCAGGTGGCTTTGTATAAATACATCTTGTCTCTTGAATAGACTTTAAGTTCTTTCAGGGCAGGGACCATACCTTATCCTTCCTTGTGTCTCCACCCCATTAAAATCTTTTAGATTCAAAATTTTTTAGAAATATTTAATAAAAAAAAATCCTCTTAAATCTGACAAGTGACAGAAGGAATGAAACTAAGAACAATAATGTCTGATTTCCTGGCAGTTGGCCCTGTGCTGATTGCTTTGCTTATGTTATCTCAGGCAGGTATCATCATCCTCATTTTATACATCAGTCAAGTCCCACGGACGGGCATCTCCCCATAGCATGCAAGTGGCAGGGCTTAAATTTCAGTCCATGTTTTCCCGTCTCTAAAACCTTTAACCATTAACTCTATAACCTTTAACCTTTATCTGGATCTGCAGATAAAGAATGGAGGGTCCACTGCATTAATTCAAACCAAGTGGCCCTTTTCTCATAAATTGAGAGCAGTATCCGCCTCAGCTTCCTGATCTTATGTTTTTAATGTATATCACGCCATTCCTTTAGGCAGCATTCCTCCCAGGCTCTGGGCCTTGGAGCAAATCCTGGAGACTTTTCTTGGCAGCTTCTGATACTGCGAACAGCCCTGCCTTCTGCAAAGCAGATGCTTGCTTGGTGCCTGCCTTGCCTCTCACCCCACATTCTGGCGAGAATACAGTCCCTTCCTAATGCCAAGCAGCAGTGTTTCCTTTTGGTGTTTGACTGTCTCCATAGGTGACCAATACAAGATAAGGGACATAGACTGTGATCACTTTGAAGTGATTCTGTTACTGAAAGAGGGTTTGCTGCTGTTTAGAGAACGTTTTTACCCAGCGCATTATGTCGTGCACACGTTCTTACAACTGAGCAGAGAGAGGCCAGAAGGAACGGAAAAGAGGTAGAGTTGAACCAAGTGAGAGACGTGAAGTATTCCTGAATCAAGTGAGTCATCCATTGTGGATTAACCCATCTTCAGTTCATATTTTCCTTTCAGTTTCCTGCTAGGTACCTGGCCACTTGATTATTTGAATATCTTGGTTACATTTTCTTTTTTTTCCTTTTTTCTCATGGGTCACTTGTAGATACAGTTCATTGGGCTAAGCCTCTGGGCCATTAGTTCTCAAAATTTGGTGTGCATAAACATCACCCAGGTAGTCAAAAATGTATATTTTTGTGCTCCTACTCCCAGAGATTGTGCTGGAAAGTCTTGTGGGGCCTGGGCCAGTGCCCTATGACACAGATGCATTGCTTCTCTGGCACTCTGCTCCCGAGACCAGCCAGTGAGGGAACTACGTGGCCATGAGCCCCTCTCAGCAGCCGGTTGCCATGTGCCAGGTTCTAGCCTCCCTCCTCCCTGAAGTCAGACTCCTGACAGTCCCAGTCAGCCTGAGTGATGGCCACCACACTGTGCTTTCTTTCAGAAACCTATTTGAGAAACTTGGAAGAGAAACTGACCCAGAACAAGCTCATCTTGAAAGAGGAGTTGAGAACCTTGCTTCATTTGTGTGAGTCCCGAGACGATATGGAGCTGGCTAAAAATGTCATTTACAGGTGAGGCCCTTCCTGCGAATCCTGCCAGCCTTGTCTCTTCTCACTCACTCCTTTTCCTGACCCATCTCATCTGTTTCCAAGATTTCCGCTGTCACCTACACGATGATGACTTCCAGATCTCTTGCCCAGATGCCTGCCTTGAGCTCCACACATTCATATTCACTCATTTAGCAAACACTGAGGTCCTACTACATGCCAGGTGTTGAAGATAGAAAAAGATAATTCACGCCCCAGGCAATCACCAGCCCCTCACTAACCCCACTTAACACATTCCCTCAGTCTTCACACTCACCTTACACAGATTTCTTTTTCTTGTTGTGTTTCCTGTCACAATGACGAGTCATTCTTTCCTCTGATCTCATTTGCCCTCCTCCCTGATGGGGTAAGAAATCCTACTGAGTCCACTTCTGGTATCTCTCATCTCCAGCCTTCCTCTCTCTGTCCCTATAACGAGTGCCTTAGTCCAGTGTCTCACTGGAATCACTTCCGTGGACTCCTTCCTAACTAGTCTCCCTCCTCCAGGCTTATGTCTATCATGTGCACTGTGTCTGATCCATTGTAGAGTTTCCCCCGTCAGAAGGAACTCATGCAATCACGGCAAAGCCCAGCAAAGGTTTCACTTACTTGGGAGAAGCATGACACCAAGTCAACGGGCTTCATTTCTAAAATTAAATTAATTGCTTCTTTTTGCCATTCTTTAAAGAGGTATTTCTACACATGGACCTGTATTTATACTGTACATTTATAGAGAAAAATATGAAGTATTTGTATGTAGAATAATACTAAAAGTTAACTGTGGTTCTCTGGGAATTACACATTTTATTTTTTGTTTGTCTAAATGTGTACTCTTCTGATTTCTCAAAACTGTCTATAATGGACATTATTCATTTTATAATGTGAAAAAATTAATGTTGTTTTTAAAAAGAAAAAGAAAAAAGTTACACAAATTTCATTGAAAATTTGAAAAACACCAAAAATACCTATTGTAGAAAGAAGAAATGTACCACAGATTCTGCTGTTTCGGTTCTCTTGCTGCATAACAGATCACACCTGAACTTAATGACTTAAAATGACGACTGGTTATTATTTATCACACCGCTGAGGGTCAGGAATTGAGGCTGATCTTAGCTGATGTTACCTGCTTATCTGCAGTCAGCTGAGTGGGCTGAGCTGGAAGGCCCAAGAAGGCTTCCTTTGCATTTCTGATGCCTTAGTGCCCCTGTACATGGCCCCTGTCTCCCCCTGAAGTATCTCACTGTGCCTGAGTCCAGCACTAACACCCAGCACAGGCTGCAGGCCTTGCAGAGCTGCCCAGACTGGGGCATCCTCACTTCCACCCCATTTTCTTGGTCAGGGCAAGTTACAGGCCAGCCCAGATTCACTGGGAGGGGAAGGAATTCCACCTCCGGGTGGATGGAGCAGGGAGAGGAGGAACTAATGGTGGCTATCTTGGGGGCCTGTCTACCATATCCAGGAAACCACTGTTAATATCTTGATATATTTTCTCTGATTTTTTTCATGCAAAGATTTTGTGGTTTTGGTAGGGTTTACTTTACATAGCTGTAGTTATTACTGTGTAATAAAATGATATTTTCTTTTCTTTTTTTTAGTCTTAAAAAAATTTTTTTTTAATTTAATGGAAGTACTGGGGAGTGAACCCAGGACCTCGTGCATGCTAAGCACGCACTCTACCACTGAGCTATACCCTCCCCCAAGTTGTTTTCTAATTCGTATTATAATATTAATTTTTCGCTTGTTAGGAATCGTATTTTAAGGGCTATACACTTTTCCATTGTATGCTAGGTATTTGAACTAACTGTGCCCCTATGGAATGGCTGCAATTTTCTGATTTTTCACCAGTATGAATAAAGCCATGATGATCAAACTCTATGCATAAAGCTCATTTGTGTTTTCTTTCTGAGATCAGAGGGTATGAGCCTTTCAAAGCTTGTCCATACAGCCTGCCAGATTATTTTCCAGAAGGGATTATGCCAATTCACAGTCACATTGTATCAGCAAACCTGATTCTGCTGTTTCAGTTTCATAAAGTTGAATCATTTGAGATCCTCTGACTTGTTTTCCTCTCAGTCTTCTTTTTATCTCCCAAAGCTATCAGATGTTTACAAGAGTGACAAAGCATAGCATTCTGAACACTTTTTCCACTCTTACTTCTGTCGTAAACATTCAAAGTCTGGCTCTTAATCCCTTTATTGATGCTAACGACTCTGCCTGGTTGCTGTCCTCGCCCTCTGTTCGTGGACAGCTGGACAAATGGGAAGAGGGGGGTCCTTGGCCTGACCAGCCTGTTCTCTCTCTTCCTGAGACAGGCAGCCCACAGTTGGGGAAGAATGAGCCAAAAAGGGGGAGCAACTTCATCTCCTCCTAGTCATGCTATTTTGTTTGGTTTAGAGAGATTTTAGATCCTCGAACTCGAGCATTTGTCAGAAGAGGTGAAACATCATCTCTCTGACTTTCTAGCACTTTTATTAGTGTGAATGACATTTAAATTGGGAAAACCTTTGGTTTTGCTTTGTTACGTGTTTAATCTGATACAAAATTTCTCATGAGACTACTTACTGAAATATATTGATTTTTAAAGATGTTTTCCTCAGCATGCCCTACATTTTACAAGTGGTAACATATATGGAACACGTACCGTGTGCCAGGCACGTCATCTCATTTAATCCTTATAAAAACTCTTTGAGTTCTTTTATTATTTCCATTTTACAAATGAGGAAACTGAGGCACAGAGTGGGTAATTAATTTGCTCATGTCTACACAGTTAATAGGTAAAACAGCTGGGACTTAAACTGTCATTTTGGATTCAGTCTAAAAATCCTTAATCACTACACTAGATTGCTTTTTAATAACTTATTTCTTCTTTTCCCCAGTTTTATTGAGGTTTAACTGACAAATAAAAATTGTATATATTTAAGGTGTATAACTTGATATTTTGATATAACTTACTTTATAACTGTTGTAAATGAGGTAATGAACTTTTTTTTATAACTTCTATAATTGGATTTTGAAATGTTTCTTTAAAAGTACACTCATCATTCTAGTTAGTAGTATATATGTTTAGAATAGCCTATCCATAATGCTACTGTGACTTTCCTCAGTGATTTCAGCAGAAGGTTAAAAAAATACCATTTTTTAAAATCAGAGCTTCCCAACCCTGGTATCTGGGATTCATTCACATATGACTCTTCCTAAAATCTGATTTACATATAATCATAAGGTACTTGTTTGGTCACCAGATTGTCTTCAAAACTGCATTTAACTTGTTTAGCTAGGTGACTGTAGTTCACATATGCCTTTTCCTGAGCCGAGAAAAACAGAGAGATTGGTCTACATTGTAAAGTGCATCTGTTGGTTGTCTGCTATCCTACATGGGGGACAAAGCCATACTTGAGGGGGACAGAACGTCACCCTGCTCCTTTTCTTGTTCCTCTTCAGGAACACAGAAAGACAGTTCCATTCTGATGGGCTTACAAATGCAAGACCCCTGCTATTCTCTGACATATGCTCACACTGTCCTAGCAGGTTGCTGGCAAATTAAGATGATTAAATCTGCGTTTTTTCCTTTTATTTCACAGAGTATGTGGGCCTCTAACAAACCTCGTTTGTTTATTTAAATGCCTCATATACTTCTGTACCCCAGGATTCTTCTGATCATCTTTAATTCTGCACGTTCCCCTCCAGACAGTGAGAGAACCTCATTCTTTACTGTGTCCCCAGCACCTAGCGGAGTGCATGCCATAGCCTATCTCTCCTCTTCTTCAGGTCCCACTGTTTGGTTCATTGAATCATTTTGATTACCAGGTACCATGCAGAGAACAGGAATATCACTTTGGGAGAGTATAAATTTGGACCACTTTTCATGAGGTTGTGCTACGAGCTGGATCTTGAGGAATCTGCAGTGGAGCTCATCAGAGACCAGGTATTGTCTCCCGATTGCTCCCTGCCAGTGGGTTTTCCTTATGCTGCGGACGGGGTGTTTTCAGTGACGTTAGGAAAGGCATGAGCTCCTGCCTGCATTTTTAATTAAGGTTTCCTTGGAGTCACTGCCTACAAGGAGGTGTAGGTCTCTTTATACAGAGGTGTAGAACAGGTGTGGAAGATGTATACACACAGATCACAAGGAATCTACCTACCTCGGATGTGTGTCCACCTGGGACTGACACCGTCTCTTGAGGAGCTTTCGCAGGGGAGAGTTGAAGGCAGGCTGCCATTTTAAGACTGCCTTTCCTGTTCACCTGTGCTTCTCTCCTGTTTTCATATTTTTACTTCTGGTTGAAGGTTACATTGTAAAGTGCTCTTGTGCTTTCAAAATTTCTGATTTTCCCATATTCTGAGTTTCTTTTCCTAAAAACAAAATAAGTATTTTGTAATTATTTATGGAATATTTTCTATGTCCTCAACATTGTGTTTAAGTACTATGCATGTTTCATTTCGTTTGCTTCCCACAAGAGCCCTGGTGAGGTAGACACTGTTATTTTCTTTTTAAGGTAAGGAAACTGGGACTCAGAGACATTGTAAATTCATCCATGGTCAGAAATCTTTATTAGATTTTGAGGCCAAGGCTGGCCACCCAGGACATTTTGGTGTTTTTAGGAACCTCTATAATCAAGTTGTCCTTCTGCCTCTTACTCTTTTTCGTATACAGTGTTGTGTCCATGGTAGGACTAACGCCCAGCCTGCCCCTCTTTCAAGGACACCTGGGTATTAGAAAGATGACCATCATTTATTAGTAAGAAGATAAAAGGTGGTTTCAGAGCAGTATGGATTATTTGGAACCTATTTTTTTCTAAAAGAAGAAATATACATGCATATTTACATTATAGTATGTATGTTTTAAAAATCTGGAAGGATATACATTAAGCTACTGCTTATCTTTAGGGGGTAGACTTACAGGAAATTCTCACTTTTTACTTTATACATTTTTGTATTGTTTGACTTTTATAGTAAGCATGTATTAATGTTGTAATTAAAAGGAAATGAAAGTTTCACTGTAATAAGTCATAGCTGTGAGTATAATGATAAAAAAAAGAAACAGAAAAAAAATGAAAGTAAAGTTTCTGGGGTTTTTTTTAACCTACCTCAGTAAGAAACAGTCATGTATGCATGTTTCCTGGGGTAGTAAAATAAAGTGAATCAGAGTCACGAGACATACAGCCTGATCCTGCTTCCACCTTACTTGTGTGTCCCCTGCCCAGAACCCTGTGGTGCTTGCAGTATAGTGGCCACTAGCCATGGGTACCCATGGAGCCCTTGGACTGTGATGTTCAAATTTACATGTGCTATTAGTGTAAAGTACATGATGGATTTCAAATATCCGGTATAAAAAGAGAATGTTTTATATTGATTACATGTTGAAATTACGTTTTGGATTTAGTGGGTTAAGTAACATTAAAACTGATTTCATATATTTCCTTTTCCCTTTTTTAAAGTTTTTTCTTTACTAAATATATTTTCATATATTACTTTTTTCCTTTTTTAATGAAGCTACTTGAAAATTTAGAGTCACATACATAGCTCACACTTGAGGCTTGCAGCATCTCTCTAGACAGGACCACTCTGGTGGCTTCTCATCACACTTGGAATAGACCACGCCCTAGAGGCCCCTTGGGGTATTTCATCTCCTGCCCCTCTCACCCTTTCTCCCTCCACTCTGGACCCTCTTGTTCTTCCTCAGACACGCCAAGCCCGTGGCCTCCGACTGGAATGCTCTGCACCTGCATCGCTGAAGTTTCTCCTTCACTTCATTGAGGTCTCCTTCCTTGACTGCCTTCCATCATCTTCTCTGTCCCTTCATCCCATTTCACTGTTCTTCATAGCCCTTATTGATACATGAAATTATATATATTTTTCGCTTATTTTATTCTCTTGTTCATTGTCTCCCCTGCCAGAATTTAGCTCCTCCCCTAGATTATAAGCCCTACCAGAGTTTAGGGCAGGGATTTTGTCTTGTTCATCATTTCTTTACTCTTTAGCGCCTCGAACAGGGTGTGCCTCACAGGCTCTCAAAAAAGAACAAATTTGAGCAAGCTATTTAATGGCATAATTTGAATAGCATGTGTCACATTATCATGGGATTAAAAATGTTAAGAACCTCTTTTTCAGTGAATTGCTTCCAAAAGTGAAAAATCAACTCTGTATTATTCGTTTGCCTAAAGAGGATCATAGTTGTGTAGCCTCTCCTGCCCTAGTCCTCAAGCATAATCACAGCTGCCATTTCACGTTAATATGTGCCAGGCCTGTTCCAGGACCACCTCCACTAGGGTTCATTTGTCTGTTTCCTTTCTAAGCTTAGTGGAGCCACACTGCATGAAGATACTCTTCACTGCATTTCTAAAACCCAAAGATCTCCTGTCATACCTCTTACCTCTTGTTCCCTCTGCTCATTACCAAAGGCATGACACCAAGAGAGTGGACATTTGAATTTTTTTTTTTTGAAAAATAAATCCTTGGTATAGAGACTTATTAGAGATCAGGAGGCCAAATAAAGTATGTACAAAAATAAGTCCTGGATAGGTAAGTTACAGTATTGTAAGGATAAGTACTCCTTTAATAGTCTTAACTTTTAACCAAAATGTATTGTTTTTCTTCATTAGCATTTACGAGGTTTCTTCTCAGATTCCACATCATTCAATATTTTGATGGATATGTTATTTATCAAAGGCAAATATAAAAGTAAGTATTGCCCTTTATGTTTGCTTAAAAAGTCTGCTGTCTCTGCTGGTATAGAAGTTAGGGCCGAGCAAAAATGATCCTTATATTCCTGACGAGTGGCTAAATTATGGAGACCTCATTCTTTAACTGTGAAAACACTGTATCACATGTCATGCCTTAAACTAAACACCCCAGGTTTTACTTATGCTGAAATTATAAGTTTTAAATTATTAGTTCTTTCTGTAACACCTGATGATTTATTATGAAATTTAGTTAATTGCTAAGTGTCTTTGACAGATAGTTTTTATTGTGCTGAAGTACACTTTTCAGTAGATGGTGCTGAACAGATTTGAACTGTGGGATCAACAGTAGAGGACTCTGAACTTACCTGAATGCATTTAACACTGCCGGCCCACTCCTGGCTTTTGGCAGGTGCACTGGAAGTCCTGATAGAGATGGAAAACCAAGATGTGAAGTTCAGCAAAGATACCTATGTCCTTGCTTTTGCAATTTGCTACAAACTGGTAAGACTGTCTTCCCTTAACTTTTAGAGCATTTTGGGTTTGAGAGAGGATTTTTTTTTTCTCTACAAATAAAATTCAGTTCCTCTGAAGTCTGTGTTCCATCTGGTGCAGATATTTCCATTTTAAATATGTTCATTTTTAGAAAACCCAAGTTAGCCATGTCAGACAGTTTTATCATGGGAAAAGCAATTTTATCATCTTTCAATCTTCTCCAGTTGTGTTGATGATGAGAGCAAGACGGTATGCTGGGTTCAAACTCTGCTTTAGAATGATTCCTCTTGCTCCTGCTGGGCTTCCCCAGACCAGTATCCTCTGTGGCCCTCTCCCATGGAAATCTTACCACCCTTCAGTGGGGAACTTAGGGGCTACTTTGTCCTCATCTGTGAATTTTCCTGTGATTACCTGAGTTGGAAGTGATATCTCCCTCCTCCAGAATCCCTTGATTGTACTGTATTTGCGCTCACATACTTAGCACTGGTAGCTCTGCCTGATGTTGTCCCAAGTAGATGCATAATCCATCCTCCCCACCAGAGGGTAAACCCCTTCAGGCACCTTTATAAGCCAGCCCCTACCTGTGCCTGGTGCACAACGGATCTTTAATAAATGTATGTGACATGAAAATGAATTCTTTGAGCAGAGAGCACCATTTATAAATCCCTATCTCATTACTGTATCAGGATTGTCTTTTGCACATAGAAACTGTTTCTTCATTACTTATTATTTAGTGAATGAGTGATCACTAAAACAGTGCAATGACCAAAGTTCCGTAAGTAACTATACACATTCATGCCATTTTAACTTTGGAAACTTAATAAAATCTTTTGATGCTGAAAATGAAGGAACACCTAGCAAAGTAAAAACATGGGCCACTTGAAAATTTCCCCGAAAAGTGTAGCAATACCAATTTTCTAAAACAAGAAGGGCAGTTGGGTTATGGTGGAAAGAATACCAGTCTGGAAATTAAGAAATTTGGAGTCTAGTCTCCACTTTTAGCATTAACTGGCTTTGAAGTGGTTGCTTACCTCATTTGTGAAATGAAGTGTTTGGATTCAGGAGCCAGCAAACTTTTTCTACGAAAAGCCAGACTATAAATATTTTAGGCATCAGGGGCCACATACAGTCTCTGCCATTTATGGTCCCTGTCACATATTCTTTGTTTTTATTTTACAAACCTTTAAAGGTATAAGGAACATGGTTGGCCACAGGCTGGATTTGGTCCTAGGGTTGTGGTCTGCTGACCATTGGATTATTAGATGATCCTTTCCAATGCTGCCACTTCATGATTCTGTGAAAGAGAAGGCCAACAAATCACACAACCCTTGAGCATCCGTTCTTCCGCATTATGATACCCAGTTTCCCGACCTTTTAGAAACGCCTCCCTGAGTGTATACTGATGTGAAGAAAATATAACTCCACTTAGGAAGGGCAGAGGACTTTTCTCCAAGTGTGTATCCAAGAATAACTTGTTTCACTCAGTGGAAACTGGAATTGAAAACTTGGATTGGTCATCTGTTACAAATTCCAAGCCAATTCTGTGAACTGTCCTCTCATCAAATTCAGGTTTTCCTTGAGGATTTGAGTTGTGAAACACATCATGACAGATACACAGACGCAAAGCTGATGCTGCTCTCATAAGTGTAATCCACCCACAACAGGGACAAAGGGAGAGGATTCTGTTTTACCACTGCTGTCAGTTTGTGTATTTACAAATTAGTGTTCATGTTTTCAGGTATCTGACTTAACATGGACATTTTCAGATTGCAAATCGCCTCAGGGGAAGCTCTGTGGTGTTGCTGAGCTTTACTCTTATTATTTAATCTGGTAGCAGCAGGCTGACTCTTCACACGTGTACATCACAGGACCTGTGTCTGGAATCAGCTACCTGGATAAAGAGACCTGTATACTTGCTGGTAAAGCTGCCCCAAGTCAGAAAATCAACAAAGAGCTAAAAATGAAGTTAATTTAGATTTGAGCTGCTAATATATAGATAACTTGGTCTCTCTGCAGACAGTCACCATATGTAGCTTAATCTTTTAAGAGGCTTGAGATAGGCTCCAGGAAGTTCTTCCAAAAGGAAATCTGAAACAGTGAGCACTATTAACCACTTTATTGAACTTGAAGTTTCATGACATTTATTTATTGAGCAATCTTGTCTTCTCCCAGAATAGCCCTGAATCTTTTAAAATCTGTACTACATTAAGAGAAGAAGCCCTGATCAAAGGAGTAGTCCTCTCCAGGAGGGCGTCCTGTTTTGCAGTGGCACTAGCGCTGAACCAGGTAAGGCTTTGGGGTGCGCGTAAGTGAGTGTGGAGTGGGAAGGACTTTACTACTTTCATTTGTTCTTGCTTTTATTTTTTCCATCTGACTCTGTCATAAAGAAAAAGTCCCCATTAAGAGACCAGTGCTTTTAGTGCCATGGCAACCTACAACGACCTATACCTCTGTCTCCAAAGAACGCTTCCATTTACAGCTGGGGACCTAACCCGCACTGCTGTTTACACGGGGCTGGCCAGGATCCTGTGGAGAAGCAGTGAGGGAAGCTACACTCAGAGAAATTTTTCCAGCAATGAAAGTGAAAATTTCAGATGATTGGTTTACTGTATAACCTGCTCAGAGAAGAGTGTAATGCTCTCCAAGGCTGAATTCACCTCACATGAATGAGGACTCCTGGGTCAGCCCATTGTAGAAGTGGGGTCCATCATATAGTTCACAATTTAACCCATTATACTCTTATTTAGAAGAGGCTTCAGTGATTTTTAGCCTCCTCTCACTGGACAGATGGAGGCAGCTGAGGCCCAAGAGAAGAGAGGACCTCCCTCCCATCACATCTCAGTAAAGGACAGTTAGAGCTGGGACCTTGGAACACCTCCTGTTTTGAACAGCCCTTCCCAGGATGTTCTCTTCTAAGCCTAAGAACATATGAAATACTTTACATGCTTAATATGTAGTAAAAGGAGACGTTATGGCAGCAAAAATAACAACCAAGCCAGATTGTTTACCTGGCTGGTAAAATGTAATTGGAGAACTCTTGTTTATCATTCATTAGAAATGAAAATATCAGGGTGATCCATTTGCATATACTGCTGAGAAAGTCATTGAAAGACTAAAACTTAAGAGGATACAGTTACCAGCTTCTGGCAGCTTCACTTCCAAAGTTTCCCTCTGTGGCCGGGGACTTGCCTTGTCCTCTTTAGTCTGTCATGGGCTGAGGGAGATAAATGAAAGGCTTTCCTCAGGAATATGTTTCTGTTTCTTTTTGTAACTCTTGTAGTTTTTCCTTTATGTGTGTTTAAGTTAAACCATTTGGTGTGCATATATATATTGGGTGCATGTATGTCTAAATCAGTTGTACCGTACCTGTTAAAGCGTCTCTCACTGTAGCATTATAAAGTGCCTTTCTTGGTCTTGTTTAATGCTTTTGCTCTGAATTTAAGCTTGTCTAGTATTAATAACTCCACCTCTGTTTTTGTTTATCTTTTTGGTTTCATTAGGTTTTCTTATCCTTTAATTTGCAATCTTTCTGATTTGTTACTTGTTTTACGTGCATCTGTGGTACACTGCATAGACTGAACTTTGCTTTGTAATACACTGCTAGTCTTTCTTTTAATATTATCAATCTATGTCAACTTGACATATATTTAATCTTAGATTTCATTTATGCTTTCTGTTTTATAACTTTTAAAGTAACTTATACCTTTGGTAGTTTTCTTTGTTTTAGTTTTTTTTGCTCTAGTGGTTACTTTAAAACCGTAACTTTAATTTTCACAGTCCTCTAATTCCTTTGCAGTACCTATTAATTCCCTATTGTAAGTAATGGTGAAATTAGTGTATTCCCTATTTTTCCCCTCTTATTTTCCTCCTCCACCATGCAATTTTGGTTGACAATGTTACTTTTTTGACCCAGGTAGTAAAGACAAGGAAATGGACATACCTTATCTACCTCTTATCTTTCTCCCCTTCTCTTCCCAACTTTTGATAGTATTATCATTTCTTCACTGGGTGTGTAACATTTGTGCTCCGTTCTGTAACCATTTTCCCCACATTTGTTTTAGTTTTATATGTATCTAAACAGGTTCATTGTTTACTGCTAGTTACTTTGCTATTTGTTTTTCCAGTCATCTCTGTTGACTAAAGTTTGTCTTCTAGTAAATTGTTCAAGGGAACAGTATCCTTCCAGTTCTTGGTATTTAAAATTATTTGCCTGTTATTTTTTTCACTTGAACTACCGGTTGGCCAGATACAACATTTTGAGGTGATATTTGCTTTACCTGAGGTTTTCTGAGGTACTGCTCTTCTGTCTTCCAGGATGGAATATTGCCATGGAGAAATCTGAGGCCTGCCTAATTTTTTCTACTTTTGCCTGACTCGTTCATTTTTTTCATTTCTGACCTTTATATCTATGGAAACATTTTTCTATTGGGACTTCATCATCTTCCAGTTATTTTCTTGTTTTGTTTTGTCATAGTCCTTTTTCCTCTTTTTTTTCCCCCTAATAATGTCTTTCTGTGGATCATGTACTGGTTCTTTTTTGGTTGTTCACCATGGGAAAACATTGTTTCTCTTTGATCAGCCATTTGCAGAAGATTCCTGTCAGAGAGAGACCAGAGCCATGCTGCTGTGTTCGAGGCTGGCAGGGATTTCTGTTATGTGTGAGTTTTTGTCTAGAAGTGTGCACAGACTCTACTTCTCCCTGGCCAAGGGGAATAGGCATGGAGGTGATTTTCAATGAAAAGTCTCTTCTCTGCTGCTGCTGCTGTGACATACTGTTTCCTGCAAATACAGCTAATCTGTGCAAAGTCTTGATTAGCCTCACCTCTGCCACCAAAAGGGACCAAAGACCTCATTCCTGGGCCTAAACTCTGTTACCATCATTGTACACAGGAATTTAGTCCTTCAGGCTGTGCCCCTGAGAACTGCTCTGCACTCTTTCTGAGATCTGCAGCACTGTCTTACTGCTTTGCCTGGAACTCTCCCACGCTCCATCTCCAGTGTTTTTGGCAGTGCAAACCTATTCTGTGGTTTGAGGTTTCTGTGGTGTTCTAATGATGTTGAAGATGGGTTTGCCTCCATCTTAAAAACTGGAACTCAGGCAGGTTGTTAAAACATTCAGTAATAAGCCACTGTAGGAAACATTTATAGAATGTTCATTTTTGATTACCAAAAAACTTTTTCTTTGTGGACTTCAAAACCCTGGGGCACCATGAATTGGAATATCCTGACATCTTTAAGCGACCATTATGAAAAGAGTAATGTTCATGAGTTGTTTTTCTTCCTTCTAGAACCAGCTGGCAAAAGCTGTATCCATTTTTTCTCAGATCATGAAGCCAGAAAGTATAATCTGCACTAATTTAAATGTAAGTGACTTCTTTATGGTTTAAAGTGAGGCTCAAAAATGTAATAAAATGATGTCTAGATTTTTCTGTCTGTGTACAACAGATGACTCGATCTCCCAAGGTCTTCATTCAGTCTGTTTATTTATTGATCACTGTGTGAGTTACAGGATAGCCCCTGTGAGAGGAGTCAACACATGCTTCCAGGAGTTTATAAATAGGTAGGAAGTGTAGATATGCTCAGCTATAAGAGGTGGCTAAATGCTATAGGTATAACACACAACTGCAGAAGGCTGCTGATGTAGAAGGAAAGGAGATAGACTCTGCAGTCTCTTCACTGAGACCTGAGAAAAGCCTGCGTGCTGATTACATCCTCTTCGTGGTAATTAACTCATGGAGTCAGGATACCTGTGGTGCATAAAATAGTGTCTAATGTGGTAAGCACTCAATAAATGTTAGCTATCTTCATTCTTACTATGTTGCCAGCCTGCTGTGGTCCATCTATAGTGAGCAGTGAGTCATGTGTGCCTTCTCGGAGCAATGAAAAGACTTAGAGACTCTTCTGTCATTAAGGACATCATATCCCCAACTCAATCACTCCCTGTTGAGGCCCAGCTTGTATGCTGAATATTTGTGTTGTGGGGAATTGAAAAGAAAGCCCCTTATGTCCAAGAACTTACAGTCTCCTGAAGCATCAAGGGGTCAAGATGAGGAAAACATCTATTTCAAAAGAATAGAAATGTGTAAACACCAGCATGACATGAACTGGGATAACCAGTTGTAGCCAATGTAGTATTCCAGGACAGGGAGTGAAGGGCTGGCCAGCGGGAGCAAGTGGAGGAGACCTGGGGAGAAAACTGTTGAGCAGTGTTCTGAAGGAGGACAGGGCTGTGGGATTGGAGGGATGGAAGTGAAAGGGCATTCTTTGTTGGGGGATTAGTTCTGCTGAGGGTGCTGTATAAAAGAATGTAAACTGTTAATTGTAAGCACCTCTTACTAGCTCTGAGTCCTTAGGCAAAGTTACTCACCCTCTGTGGGCCCCATTTTCCATTTATCTGAAAGAGCAGTATTAATAGTACCATTCTTTCATTATGAGAATTGAAGGAATAACGCATATAAAGTAGTTAGTAGCACAGCACAGTCAGTGCCTGGCATGTAATCAGTGTTCAATGAATACTTGCTAATACCAGTAGTATTTGAAATGAAATAGGACCAAAAAAAAAAAAAGAAAGAAAAAGAAAAGGATTATTTATCTGTAACAAGTCTTAGAATAACTCCAAGCGTCCGTGGTTTTCAGTTCTGCCCATAGTGATTATCCTCAAATGTCACTCCCACACCAGTACCCAGATGACTTTCAAGAAAAGCACTAGATAAGCCTTTATGGTAAACACTGGAGAACAAGGTCCAGCGAGAAGTCTGAGATAAGAAGGCCTTCTATTTGACCTCATATTTACTTTTCAGAATGCTTTCATGTGAGGGAAAGATGAGCCTAGGGAACCAGAAAGATGGAGAGGGTGACAGCCAAGCAGCTGGAGGGGCAAAACAAGTGGGATGAGTTTGGAAGAAGAGAGACTAAATATTAGAAAAATACCCTAAAAGGGATCTTGTAGTTTGCAAAGGCCATGAGCCTGGAGAGGGAGTGAGCATCAAAGCTGTCAGTTAAGAATGCATCTGTAAAACCTGGTAATGGATCTGATATAACCTGATGAATGGCACAAGAAAAGAGAAGTAAGAGGACCCAAAAATGAGTTTATAAGGCATCAGTGGTGAGGCAGAGGAAGCATCAAAAACAAAACAAAACAAAACAAACCAGGGAAGGAATAGCACCAGTGTATCGAAATCCAAGAATGCTGATAGCCCTCCTGGTCATGGCCTGCTGCTGCCCCTGTCCCAAAACCAGGCCCCTAAGCAGAAACTGCAGGTCAGCCTGGAAAGCGCTCAGGATGAGGCAGATCCGGGAGGTGGCAAAGGTCCAGAGGCCAGAAGTCCAAGTCATTTGGGCCAGTAAGCCAAAGAGAGTAGGAAGCCTGGTCTTCCAGCAGACGTGTATGTGTTGTGTCTTTTCTGCTTCCCACTGGATAAGGACGGCTCTGGGTCTCCAAGTGTATACCTGCTTCTGAGAGGAGCCTGCAGGTGCACTCAATTCATGACTGGACAGAAGTAGAATTGATAGGATTCCAGGTCGTTCACAGCATCAGGTAGGAGAGAAACACAGGAGAGCATGTGAGAGAAGTTTTATATGGATCATCAGTAGCTTTTCCTAGAGTTGAAGGGAGCATGGGGAAATCAATAAGGATTGATTGGTGGTGAGAAATGGAAGAGAGTTAGATCAGTAGGGTTTTAGTTTATTTTAGCTGAATGCTGGTACCATGCCAGATACTTACATTTGTCGATTTATGACACTGTTAGAACAATATTTCGCCATATTATACATGCAGAAAATGAAGATTCAAAGGGTAAACAAATTACCCAAGTTCTTGCAGCTAATTAAATAGTAGAGTCAGCATTTTAACACAAACAAAGCTGCTTGACTACAAAGCCCAGGGTTTCACGAACCCTTTGAGCCCTACAGAGTTAAGGGTCTCTTTTATCTAGGACTAGGACTAATTGCTCCCCCAAATTGATGAGAACATGGGACTGGATGTCAGAAAGTGAATCTTCTGATAGCGCACATATTCCATGTCCATGAATTTAGATTCCTCATCGATTAAACCTCTGGCTATCTCTCACAGTTGTTATGAGAATCTAGTAATGATTTTTATTTATCCAAATGTGAAAGTGCTCTGGTGGAAATCAAACATGAGCCTGCTGAGAGCTAAAGAGTCCACTCTAGTAGGAGGAGAAATTCAGAGTGTGGTGAGTACACTCGTGAGCAAGAGCAGCAGGACAGCTCCTACCCGGGAGAGCTGGGAGGGAGGGGGAAGATAGCCGGTACCCGTGAGGTGGGACGGGCACGTTTTGGGCAAGTGCTATGTAAGGATCCTTGAGTTGATCTTGAATATGAATCACCCCTTCAATGAATTGGGTCACAGAATTATCCATTGCCCAGAAACTTAAAGAGAGCTTTATTGTTTAAAAATTCTCACTCAGGCAATTCTTCCAAAAGTTCAATATAAATTTCTCATATTTCAATATAAGCCTGTTTCATCTTCCTTCCTCAGGGATGGTGAAAAGAGATGGTTGCCATTCTCAGGTTTAATAATCTTTCAGATTCTGGGTCTCTGTTACTAGAGCAGGTTTTAAAAAAATAATTTAGGCCCTCGCTTCTCCAAGGCCGAAACATCTACTTGGACCCCTTAAGGGCAATTTGTTAATTATTCAGAAACGGAAACCTGACAAGTAAGCTGAGTAGAGAGTCTGTTCCGTCAGTATTAGCAGAAATAAATGAAGTTGTTTGTTTTCTTTCTGATTTACTTTAAAAATTAATGCCTTATACTAAAATCTTTTCCTGCTGCCAGCTGGAATTTGAACTTACCCAATTTTTCCGCCTCAACTTAATTTTCATCAAAATTGCTCTTGCTGCCGATAAGACCCAGAGGGCCTGGTTCCCCATTTCCTGGCTAATGCATGCTCCATACTGAACTGACTGGGCACATGATCTCATCAAGGCACGTGCATGCTGATCCTGCCCCTTCAGTCTAAACCCACCCATCGCAAGAGAACTACAGCACCCTCCACTGCTGCTCAGAATCAAAGGACTAACTTCTGCTTCCAAACATGTCTAAAAGTAGCAGAGCCCAACAGAGAGTGGTTTTCCACTGATTTTACTTGTATTCTAATCATTTTTCTAGAGGTCTGGATCCATTTTGGAATTGAATTACCTTGCAGGGGGACTGACAAGTGTTTAGTTTCACTGCTTTTATCATTTATTTGTTAACACAGGTGACTGTTTTAATGTTCCTTTCGCCTACTCACTAAGGCCACCCTAAAGTTCTAGCTCACGCTGAGAATTCTCCTAGGCTGTAGAGGTAAGAAAGGAGATGAGACTTACTATTTCTCATAAATACCTTTGTGGCGGCATCTCACCTATATGTCCAAGAACTGTATTTGGTTGGAAGCAATGTAGGCTCTAAAGAAAACAAAAGTCTGTTAGAGGCTTTCTTTTTCTTCCATGTAGAAAACCAGAGGTGGTCAGTCTAGGTCTGGTGTGACATTCCATGATATCATCAGGGAACTGGCCTCCTTCTGTATTTCCACACCACCATCCTAATGCACATGACCTCCATCCACTACATCTCTGTTCCAGCAAGAAGCAGGAGAATGGAGGAGGACAAGGAAGTTGGTCCCTTTTAAGAATGTTTTACCAAGTATCTAACCCAACAACGTGAACTTACATGTTGTTGGCGAGAGCTTCATCCCATGACCACATCTAGTTGCAGACAAACCTGAGAAATAGAGTTTTTGATTTCCATATATGACAGCACCAGTTAGGGAGCTCTGTTATAAAAAAAAAAAGAAGGTGAAAATGGATATTGGTCAGAACACTAGTGTCTCTACCACACTGTGATACTCTTCTTCAAATACAGCAGCTTAAAAAGAAAAGAAAAAAGAAATGCAAATTTCTCCACTTCAGGGGTTCTGTTCCTTTTTTTGGTCAGAGGCGTCCAGTGACTTAACATTTCTTGAGGTCTCAGAAAATCAGAGAGGCAGGAAGTATGTGTTTATTGAGTATTTTTTCTTAAGTAATATTCCCTCTGCTCCTGTTAATTCAACATTCCTAGCCTTTTGTTTGAAATCTGTAAGATTAAAGCAATGTCACTCTTTGCTTTAAAAAAGATTTAACTTTTTTAATTGTACCCTGAGACTTCAGTTTGAGACAAGCTCCTAGCTTTAAATTTTCTGTTTGCCTTTCATCAGTAACTGCCTTATCTGTGTTGCCTTCATCAGTATAGTTCAAGGTATTGAACCTTGCTCTTGAAATCCCTACTGAATCAGAGATAGTTGCTAGAGGCAGGAGAGAAATTGGGAAAACTTAAGAAGAAAAGTTGAAATCTTCCAGAAGCACACCATTAACAGTTTCTAGCATAGAGCTCCAGGAGATTTATCCTTGTAAGTTGTTAGGGGACCTACGTTCCCCTTCTCATTCACTGTTGTTGAGGGTCTCCTCAGCAGGGTGCCAGAATGGCAGGTGTGGCATCAACAAGGTAGACTTGTCCTTGCTCTTAATAGGATAGACCATTGCTAACCAAATCAGGATTGTTTTTTATTAACAAGAGTGTTAAGAACTATTAAGAGTTGGAGATTTACCCCAGTTGCCAAGCTAACGAGTTAACCTTCCACAGTTTCATGGATGCTGGTGGAGAACACTAGACACTGAGAGATGAAGGACATTTTATTACTCACAGCAATAGCAGTAGCCAGAGGATTAGCATTTTTGCATCAGTTCCTTCAGCCCAGTTCCTACAGAGTGACATGAAGAGGTCTATATGCCCCTTGCACACACAGAGGGTATATAGTAAGAGAGGAACCGTGAACTTGGGGAACCCAAATCTCTTATAATGGACAGTAAACATACCTGCCCTTTCTTTGGTTGAGACACTGTCTGTCTTCCTAGGCTGTTAGTTTTATAAACACCCTTGAAAATATAGTCCAGACTAAAGGCAGTCAGTGCTTCTGGCTGACTGTGAGAGACCCATGGAGTGTTCTCTCCTGACAAAGGGTTTTTGCCTCTGCTCTACAACACTGAACTTAGATCCGGCCCTTTGGAGTTAGGCTACTTGGGATCATTTCATTCTGTTCTTCAGGACCAAAGATAACCCTCAATCCTAATCAACAAACACACAATGTTATAAGTGGACTACTGAGAGAACTTAGCTGGTTTGGTATAAAAAAGTGAGTATCTCTTCCGGAAGAACTGTATTCCCTAAAATGTTTCCTAAAAATGTTTATACCCTTTGACTTTGTAATTTCACTTATGGAAATCAAGTCTAAGAAAGTAATGAGCTGGGATTTTGCTTGTTTGTTTTTTTAATATATGCACATTTATTGATAAAATAAAGCATGGTATTACTTTATTTGATGCATTATTTATATGATGGATTGCTATGCATTCATCATTAAAAATGAGTTTTTTCCTAAAATTTCTGGATGCTATGAAAAAATGTTCATTATATAATAATTCACCAAAAAGCAGAATCAAATTTGGGAAAATAAATATATTTGGAAGATAATACATGAAATTATAAATAATGGTTAACATTAGTTGGTGAATTTGAGTTACTCTCCTTTTTTTAAAAACTTTTCTATATTTTTCAAATTTTACCAGTGAATGTTGGTAATGGGGGGGGGTGTTCTTTTTTCCTTGTGTTTATTTTATCTGATGGAAGGTAGTTTAGTGGTTTCATTTTTAAAGCCAAGTACAGTACCCAGTTTTGAAAGTTCTTTAATAGCTACAGTGTAAATATGAGTGCCTCCTTAAGGCTTTAACCAACTTCCACTTTATGCTTGCAACAACCTATATGCCTGCAATTTCCTAACCAAAAAAATTAAATTAAGTTAAAAAGGTAAAGGTATCATTTGCCCCAGAGCCAACCTTATGAGATTGTCTGATTGTCATATTCTCTGAGTCTAGAGGAAATAGGGAGGAAGAAACTAATAGTAATGTTTATTGAATACCTCCTGTGTACTGGTATTTTATTTAATGTTCACAGTAATGTGAATGTAAGTAATGTGAGATAAGGTAATTTCCTCATTTTACAAATAAAGAAATTGAAAGAGCAATTAAATAACCGGCTAGAGTCACTTAGCTAGTAATGGCCAGCTAAGGACAGCAAAATCCATGTTCTCTCCTTTTCTGCCCTATATCAAGTTTTGAAGTTTCAGTGTTTGAATAGCTGTTGGAAAACAAGTTTTGGCTAGCAGACATTCATTCGAAGCACTTTTGAACTTGTGCAAGCAAATGAATGAGGAAACAGCATGACAGCAGGGTAGATGTCTATAACTGTAGGCTTATCTTACCTAACAGGCTGCATTTCTCAGGGATGATTACTGGCTCAGTCTTGTGTTTGCTTGTTTCTTCATTTTATTCAGATTATGATCCATATTGAGTCAAATATGTTGAAAACCCTAATAGAGATACTAACGGATGCTACAGAGGGAAATTTATCAAGATTTGTGAAGAAACCTGTGTTCTCAGAGGAAGTGGTGAGTGTGGGACTGCTGCAGAGATCATGTAAAGGTGCAAGGGCACCCCTGACTGTCCAGTGATGCCTTCATCCAGTAGGCCACCTCCTTAAAGCGACTGTCAGAGGCGGCAGCCTCCCTCTTGTTCCTGTTGTAAGACTTCTCTGTCTGGGTACAAAGACTCTTTTCCTCTAACACAGTATATCCTCTGAAATTCTAGGAAAACTTTTTTCTTTTACGTATTCTTTTCCCCACACTGTTTCCATGGATGTCAGTGCTCTCTCTCTCTTTTTTTCTTTTTCCTTTCTCCTCAAGCCTCCAGTTCCTTCTCCCCACTCATCACTCTCAGTTGATGACCCTGCCTCCTGTTTCCTGGAGGAAATAGGGCAGTCAGAGGAGAACTGCTTCACCCGACAGCTTCCTTGCCTGTCCCCCTCTGCTGAGCCTTCCCTCCTGAAGCCATGGTGACTGCACACACCTTGAGAGAGCCAGCTGCCCGGCTGTGCCTGGGAGCCCAGCCTGTGACCCACCCCAGGGCATCAGTCCAGAAGTGGGACTTTGCATCATCACTATCGCCTTCCCTGTAGCTCATCCCATTAGCCAACAATAGGCTGTAGTATCTCTCATCTTTTAAAACAAAACAAAACAAAACAAAAAAACTCCCCTACTTAAACAAATACCAGGTGTTTAAATAGGAAGACTCTGCCTCATCAAGTCGCTTCTTCCCAAGTTACTGTGATAATGGTATTTTTATTGAGATGTTACATTAGGTGGGGTTTTTTTGTTTTGTTTTGTTTTTTCTGTAGTGAAGGTTTAGGCAAACTAGCAAAAAGAGCTGAGAAAACCCTGAGAAAGAAGAGCAGGAAGAGGTGCTAGACTTGCCAGATATGAAACCATATTAAGGCTTCTCTAATTAGAACTGTGGTTTTAGCTCCTGAAGGGACTAACTAATGGAATGCTTTGCAAAATAATAAAATTAAACAAAAATGAAGAGAAAGAGTTTCTAAAAACTGAAAACACTGTGGAACAGTTGGACCCGTGTGTCACACTGATGGCCTAAGCACACAAAGAGGAATTATTGTAAGTCACTTGAAATTTAGTCATTTGCACATTGCTAGTTATATATTACCTAACGGGGTAAAAAAGACTGTAAAGAAAGCATAAATTATTGGCAGCGATCATACTGTTAGTAAAGATACTGGCATTGTCATTTTGACTAATGGAGGGGCCTGTGGTTGGCCCTCCCTCCCTGCTTTTTCCCCTTTCCCTTGCCTTTTATAGCAGGGTCCCGGCTGCACCTAAGGTGGTGGGATTGGCAGCAGAGGGCAGGTGGCCTTCCCAGCCCTGTCCCCCTCCTCAGTCCCAGCCAAAGGCTAACAAAAGGAGCTTGTCAGGAAAACTAATTGGATATGATTAAATTTAAATTGAATAGAATTAAATTTAAAGCCTCTTTCTATTTCTCTGTGTAGGTTGTGACCCATTCAAACTTTTTTGGAGCGTGTTTGGAAAGTAGAGGAACTGGAAATGTAAACCGGTTTTAAAGTACACAGCCGTGTGTGTGCACATACACGATACTGACACAATTTCAGTTTTCTCACTAGCACTCATGTCAATCAGTCCTTCCTTAGACCCGGCCCATCAATGCGTTGGCCCAGTTCTACGGCTAAAGCATCCAAACAAACTTCACATTGAAAAATACTAATTATTTTTATCTGATTTTTCCCCCTAAAGCCTATAAAGACTGATTTACTTAGAAAGCTCACCCTCTAGTTCAGTGTGCCCCCGTAGTTGTGAGACCAACTCAAGGAATTGCTTGTTGAGAAGTGAATTGATCCATAAAACTCCAGCAGCTTCTGAGCCAGTTCTAAATCTATTTGTGAGACTGCATGTGGAGTCCTACATTGTAAAACTGCATTCTACAAATGCTCGGTGTAGTGTTTATACCACCAGTTACTGAAAAAGTCTTATGTGTGGAGGTAAGGTGCTAATATACTATCAGAGGAATGTTGAAAAGAACCACTGACCTTCTGCAATACCATGACTGAAACCACTCAAACGTGAGCTGTTTCTTTATTAACTTCTTTTTTTAAGCCTAAATTAACAATTAACAATCACCTCTTTTCCGCTTAAATTGTAGAATGGTCCTAATGATACCACTTAATATTTTTGTAGTGATTTAAGGAAACTTAATCACTTAGCGTCTGCAGTGAGAGCAGGGTTACTTCTAGCTTGGCACACCTGCTTTGCTGCTTTGGAAACCATGTGCTGCTCCACATTCAGTCACTCCACCTTGAACAAGGGGACTAAGCAAGCTTTTTTTTTTTTTTTTTAAAGAATGTTAGAAGTATTTAAACTATCTGAAGGTTCAGTGGAGACCCTTGTTAGAAAGGAAGTTGTGCAGGTAGCAGATAGGATTGTGATATATTTAGAAGATAACTAAAGGATTCATCAGGAACCCGATCAATTTAAATTTCATCAAGAAATGTTAGATTGTATCATTAATAAGGACTGAACTAAGTAAAATGTTGATTTTAATCAGAAAGTAGTTTCATATTTTAATTTTGAATTCACCCATTTGTGTTAAATACCAGTCATATACTTGTGACTCTAATATGTATACCTCTGGTCTAGATCTCCTCCATCCCTCTAACTTGTGTATCCAGCAGCCTCTGGACATGTCCGCTTAGCTGTTTCACTAATCTTGTCCAGCATGGGCCTCTTAATTTTCCCTCTCCAAAGCTGATCCCCTCATCTTCCCCATCTCAGTCAGTGACATCCTCCATCTCCAAGGTACCAAAGCCCAAGTTGGGAAGATTATTCCTCCCCTTCCCTTTCCTCTTCAACAGTAAATCCTTACAGTTTAATCTCCAAAATATACTTTATATAGTCTACTTCTGCATCTTTTCTATACATTTTGCAATCTAAACCATCACCTATTCTCATCTGGCCTATGATGGGGGCCTCTGGATTAGTCTCCAAATTCTTGTGCCCTCCAGTTCTCTACACAGCCTTTAAAATCTAAATCAGATCATGTCCCAGTTTGGACCCCCTGATGGCTTTTAGAATAAATTCAAAAAAACCATGAGCTATAAAGCCTTACATCATTTGGTCCCACCTCCTGCTCTTAACCTTAAATTGGACACACTTGATTCCATTGCTATTTGACCTCCTCTCCCTGGTATGTTTCATTGTATAATATATGCTACTTGAATCCCCGTTTTATAAAATACCAGGTATGATTTTCAAGTACTAATTCTGAATGTTGTGTGCAGCTTGTGGAATCCTTTACAGTGTCCCAGTACCCTGGTTTTCACCACTTTATGTCCACTCTACATTTTTATGCATTTGTCTCTCTCTCTTGGAGGAGAAAAAATAGTAGGAAGAAATCTTGCAGAGACAGAATGATTTGCTCTTGCTTTTTTCCAGCTGGTCAAAGTGAGGGAAAAAGTGAAGGATGTGCCTGCTCTTCTGGTGAACTTTGATGAGCTCTACAGGAAACTGCACATGAATGGCCAGGTCACTACTTACACTCTGGATGCTCTGCTCTGCCACACTCCCAGGGACAGAAAATCCCACATGGTGCTATTAAACAAGAGGACAGTCAGCCGTCGGACCTTCCAGCCACTCAGCCAGTCCCTGTGGGCTGAGTAACGCTGGGTTCAAACCACCCACTGGTCTAAGTCGGAGGGGCCCTGCTTCTAATGAGTTTTGGCTTCCTAAGAAATCAGGCATCGTACTCCTGTGGACACTATACTACTACCTAACACTCTCCTCCTTAAATTTCCATGTTCACTGAGTAGCTGGCATGCTGACTTGAGAAGTTAATATCTTGTGCCACTGTGAAAATCGAGACACCAGCAAGCAGAAAGCTCGGCTCCTGAAGAAAGGGGGTTTCCCCATGTAAACTGCTGAGGATCCTTGAAGAAACAGTCATGGCCACCAGTCCAGCTTCCAGGACCAGAGCAGAACCCAAGAAGCACAAGCAGGAAGGAATTTCACAATAAGTGATCAACTCAGACTAATATTCGGGGGAGTAGTTACTTGCAGATTATACCCTTGCTGAATTCAGGAGGTCTAAGACCCTGTTCTACCGTCCTGGGAAAGAACCCAGGATTTTCTCACTGCTTCTGTCATCATTTACCTGTAACAGTAAACTAGGTACTTGAGCTTTCATTTTTCCATCTGTAAAATAATAGTACCTGTGTGAATCTGCATACTGGTTTGAAATTTTCATTCAGGGTTCAGTAGGATCAAGAATAAGAGAAATGAAATGGTTCCTCAGGAAACTTTTTGTTTTCTCAGCAGAGCAAACAAAACCAGAATTTAACTCAGAACTGATAAATAAGCCAAATTTAAATGACTACCACTCTGGTCACGGGTAAACCATGTGCTTTTCAAAATAAATGCTGATAAAAACCACATAATGCTCTCTGTACTGCTTAGTTTTCTATGTAGGTCATAAATTTTTGGTCCTATAGTTCACCTCATTTGTTAATGATTCTCTTTTCTCCCTTTGGATGTTTAATTTTTTTGCAAAAATTAATGTGTCATGACAGTGGGTCAGAGCTTCCTCATACAGATCCGTCTCCGTCTCTTGACGGTTTGAAGCCCAGCACGTGGGGAGCTGTGTTTGAGGGCCTGAGTGGCGGTGAGCCTCTCAGCTGCTCCTGGAGTGCTGCAGACCCCTGACTCAGCGCTGCTTCAAGAGCCGGGGAACTCTGACTTTCTACTTATTCTGAGGCAAGAACTGTTCATAGAACCAGAAATTCTAGAGTGGGAGGAATCTTCTAAGTCTCCTACTTAAACTCCCCCATCTTTCAGGTCAGGGAAATGACTGGTCCAAATTGGCATAACTAGTTTGAGGTGGGGCTAAGATTAAAACCCAGATTCCTAGTCTCATCCCCTTCCCACTGTACCACATCACGTCGCCTCAGAGAAGAAAGAGGAGAATCTACAGAGAGAGCAGTGGGGCTCCATGCCCAAGGCCACAGGCTCCCTCAGTCTCCTCATTAGTTAAGCAGGGGTAATAGTAATATCCACCTCACAGACTTGCTGTGAGGATGGAATGAGGTAATAAATGCAAAGCAAGCAGAACAGTGCCTGGCACAGTAAGTGCTACATAAACGTTAGCTATTGTTACCACCGCGTCAGTAGCATTCAGAGTGTCTGCACTTGGTTGAATTATAAAAACAAATGAGTTCTTCTTCATGTTCATAAAGAATCAAAAGAACTTCTTTAGCCTATGCTCTGTGAAGCATTAGCTTCATTTAAAGAAAATTCACTGCCATCATAGAATCTTAATTGCATCTCATGTGTGTCTGGTGTTTTGCAAAAGAGAAAAAAACATTTGAATTTTCTACCTTCAAAGTCTTAGGGAATAATAGGACACATTTCCTGTCCCCTAACTTATCTTTTATCTTCTCTAGCATTCACAAAGAGCGTTCAAAGGCTATTATGCCCTGGGTCAACGTGGCCTTGGTGGTTACCTAACAACTATTCATTAGACAAAAAAAAAAAAAAAAAGAAAAATTTGTGAGCAATAAATAGCAGCCATGACCTTCCCAAGCTCTGCTGGTGGCTGTGGTTCTCTGCTAACTGCAAACTGGGATCTTTGACTGAGGGGCAACTTAGTAGAAGTACGAATGTGCTTAATGTTTACCCTGAAATAATAGACAATTCCAAAGGCTAAAACAAAAACAACAACAAAGAAAAAGTATGCTCAGTATATACGGAGCATTTCATTCTTTAAAACTTGGTAGTTTCTTTCAAAACTGGTGTTTCCTTGCAATCGATAATTTGCCTAAAGCATCTACATACTCGTCGGTAATTTGCCTAAAGCATGAACGTACTCTGTTAATGGGAATATCTGATGGACAGACTATCTTATTCCCCAACTCTGTCATGTGCCTTTGTAGATTGTTTTCACTTACTGTAAATGTCAGTTGCTACAGAAGCCACAAATCATGGTGAGTATAAAACAGGATGAGAAAGAGATGAAAAGATAGCTCCTTAGTTAGATGATATCAGGGTAGTGGTTTGGTTATCTATTGCTGTGGCAAAAACACTTCAGAACTTAGTGGCTTAAAATAACATCAGTCATGGTTCTGGCAATTAATACCAGGACCTCAGCTGAGGCTGGGGCCTGACCATCCACACTGGGCTCCCTGACAGCATAGTTACTAGGGAGTGAGTGTTCCAAGAGGATCAGGCAGAAGCTTTGTCACCTTTTATCACCTAGCCTCAAAAGTCACATAGCTTTGATACGCATTTCTCTAATAATCAGCAATGTTGAGCACCTTTTCATGTGCCTATTGGCCATCTGCATATCTTCTTTGGAGAAATGTCTATTTAAGTCTTAAGCTCATTTTTTGATAGGGTTTTTTGGTTTTTTTTTTTATACTAAGCTGTATGAGCTATTTGTGTATTTTGGAAATTAAGTCACATTGTTAGCAAATATGTTCTCCGAGTCTGAAATTAAATTAAAAAATACAACAAGGTTATCATCTAACACCAATCAGAATGAGCATCATCAGAAAGTCTGAATAATAAATACTGGAGCAAAGAGAACTCTCCTCCACTGTTGGTGGGAATGTAAGTTGGTGCAGCCACTATGGAAAACAGTGTGGTGTTTTCTTAAAAAACTAAAAATAGAGTTACCATATGACCCAGCAATCCCACTCCTGGACATATATCCAGAAAAGACAAAAACTCTAATTCCAAAAGATACATGCAGCCCTGTTTACAACAGCCAAGACAGGAAAGCAAACTAAGTGTCCATCAACAGATGAACGGATAAAGAAGATGTGGTATATATACACACAATGGAACACTACTCAGCCATAAAAAAGAATGAAATAATGCCATCTGCAGTAACATGGACCTAGAGACTATCATACTAATTGAAGTAAGTCAGAGAGAGACAAAGATCATATATCACTTACATGTAGAATCTAAAAAAAAAAAAAAAAAAAAAGAATGCATTTATAAAACAGAAACAGACTCACAGACAGAAAACAAATTTATGGTTACCAAAGGGGAAAAGGAAGGGAAGAGAGATAAAATGGGAGTTTGGGATTAACTGATACCTCCTACTATATGCAAAATAAACAACAAGGATCTACTGTATAGCACAGGGAACTATATTCAACATCTTGTAGTGGGGGTGGGTATAGCTCAATGGTAGAGTACATGCTTAGCATGCACGAGGTCCTGGGTTCAATCGCCCGTATCTCCATTAAAAAAAAGAAAAAAAAATCTTGTAATAACTTATAAAAAAAGAATCTGGAATCTGGAAATATATATATATATATATATATAAAACACTGAGTCACTATGCTGTATACTAGAAACTAATACAACATTGTAAATCAACTATACTTCAATAAAAAATAAGTAAACAAACATTTTTTTTAAAAGTCACATAGCATTACTTCCACTCAAGTTACAGGCCTACCCAGATTCAAGGGAGAGAATATACATTTCACCTTTCAGCAGTGGGAACATCAAAGAATTTGTGGACATATTTTAAACTACCACAGATAGTGTTTTCCAGGAAGCTCTTTAAACTCCTCCTCTCCCATTGCTACTTCCCTTATTAAAGCCATCATCATTATCAGTCATCAGTCTTTCTGCTCTTCGCCCTACTGCAGCCAGAGTGAGGTTCTGAAGAAATTCATCCTCCCCCCATTTAAAGCCTGAGGGCTCCTCACATCCCTCTGGATAAATCTCAGATTCTAACATGGCTTAGCAGGCCCTTCAAAATCTGGCCTGGGGTCTGCCCATCCAGCTCTGCCCAACTCCACACCCCTTCCCTCTTATTCATCTTTCAGACCATAACTCAGACATCTTTTCATCTGGGAAGCTTTCTGGAGCCAGCTACCCCCTTAAACCCAGACTAGATGAGCTACCTACATGCCCTGTACTTCACTTAACACACTTGTCACACTCCTGTCATTGCCTGTTTTCATTTTTCACTAGATTTAGGTGCCATGTCTATCCTGTTCTCCACTCTGTGCCAGTACTCAGTGCAATAGGGAACACATCAGAGGATAAGTACTCACTTAACTCACTATGTTTTTTTTATTTTTTTATTGAGCCATAGTCATTTTACAATGCTGTGTCAATTTCTGGTGTACAGTACAGTTTTTCAGTCATACATCTATGTACATATATTCATTTTCATATTCTATTTCACCATGAGCTACTACAAGATCTTGAATATATTTCCCTGTGCTTTAACAGTATAAACTTGTTCATCTATTCTATATGTCCCTATCAGTTTCTACCAATCTCAAACTCTCAGTCTGTCCCTTAACACCCCCAACCCCTGGCAACCACAAATTCGTATTCTATGTCTGTGAGTTTGTTTCTGTTTTATGTATAAGTTCATTTGCCTTTTTTTTTTTTTTTTGGATTCCACATATGAGTGATATCATGGTATTTTTCTTCTCTTTCTGGCTTACTTCACTTAGAATGACATTCTCCGGGGACATCCATGTTGCTGCAAATGGCATTATGTTGTCATTTTTACAGCTGAATAGTATTCCATTGTATAAATATACCACAACTTCTTTATCCAGTCATCTGTCAATAGATATTTAGGTTGTTTCCATGTCTTGGCTATTGTAAATAGTGCTACTATGAACACTGGGGTGCAAGTGTCTACAATCTCATTTATATTACATAACGATGCTGGCTGACATCATGATCCCCCTGTGATCAGCATATTCTCTCCAGGCTATCCACTCAGTCCCACTTAACATTTAGAGTTGACTGCAAGTTTTTGCCCAGTCCATTGTGTATCCTTTTCTCCTCTCATCTAAAATGCCCTCACTCTTTCTCTCTCTACCCTTTCCTACCCAACTCATGTGTCACCTCTTCCATAAGCCATTCTCGAGCTGTAGAACCCATAGGGATTCTCCAATCACTCATTCACAAAATCCATACTGAGCAACTACAATGGACAAGGCACTATGAAAGGCCCTTAACATGACACAGGGAAAAGACTGACAAGGTTGCTTTCCCAAAGCAGAACATTTTTATCCTGCTGCACTGAACTTAAGGACCTTTTGGCCTAGTCATTTGCTCTTTGCTTCTGCAGACAGTACTCATTACAGACTGATCAAAATCCTACCAAAGAATAGACTCAGTAGTGAAACAGACCAATCCTGGGCCATCTTTGCTGACAATTTTGATGATGATGACCCAAGAAATTAATACAAATTTGAACTAATTCATAATGAATATTACTGGGAAATTATAATGGGGAGGTAAGGATTTATCTGCTACAATTCAAGTAGGCAAAACTGGAGATTTCTCTATTTCTTTGCAAATGAGCAAAAATTTCTTATTCAGTCTCTGGTTATATGGAGAACCCAAGAGAGGAATTCATGGGAGACTTGATCTTGCTTGAAAGAT